TTAAGGAACAAAACAAAATTTGAGCTGAAATATAATTCATAAAATATGTATTATATTGATGCTAAATTTTAGGTAACATATGTACATAACATACATACATATCTATGTATGTAATTTAGCTGGCTTTATCAGTCAGCACTTAATTTGAGATTTTTTTTTTTTTTCTTAGATGTTTGCATCACTCTAGAGTATGCATATATGTATGCGTGTGTGATTTGTGTGCATGTACATATATGTATGTATTTATGCTTGTATATATCTTTTTAAGTGTATGTGTATTTAGTCCAAATTGAAATGCTGCTAACAAGTTTTTGTTTTTGAATACGCCTGCGCAAAATACTTAAATTCAAAATATGCAATTTGCGCACTGTTTTATGCATATACATACATACATATGTTCATTTGTATATATGCAGAAAAAAATACGCATATGGTGAGATATTCACATTTATATAAATGTGTGTGCACACAATTTATACAGAATTAAGTACTTTGTATATGAACAGACAGACATAAATCCAAACATACATACATACGTATGTATATATGTGTATATAAATTGTTATAAATGCAATTAAGTAATTAAGTACATATATTATACATACTTATATGTATGTATATACATATGTATATTTATATGTATTAATATGCATACATACATACGTATAACATTGTATTTATCTGTCTCACCTTCCCTTTCGCTAAGCCGTGCGACAACAGGCAGCAAATAATTAAGTTCATTGCTTCTATTTGCGTATTGGCTGCCTTGCATATTTCGCCTCGTTGTTGTTGTTGCTGCTGCTGCCGTCGTTTTTGCATATTTTTGTAGCTCAGCAACAAAAGCGACCATCGGCAAAAAAAAAAAAAAAAAAAAAAAAAGTAAACAACAATAACAACGAAACAGCACATGGGGCTCATCTTCATTAGCCCTGCTTTCGTCTGTCTGTCTACGCTGCTTGCCTTGCCTTTTGTCTCGCTCTGACACTGTTGTTGTCTCCTACCAATCAACCAACCAACCTCTGCTACCCGCCTTTCTACCTCCCTCCCCCTTCCATGACTTAACTTTCTTGCATTCGCCTCTGTCAGGGGCTGGCGTTGGCGCAAAGCAAAAAAAAAAAAAAAACAAAAAATAACGTTGTTTACTTGGAATGCCTGCGTTGCCTTTGTTTTTGTCGTCGCTGCCACTGATGTTTACACAATTCCACAACCGAAGTCCAACAATAAAAAAAAAACAACAAGCAGCGCGAAAAGCTCAAAAGAAGCAGCGACGCCAACGTCGGCATAATGACCTTCAGCAACGCTGACGTCGCCGTCATCAGCATCGTCGCCGCTGCCTGCTGTCGCTGGCGTCTGCGCTGGCTGGATTGGGCTGACTTGGTTATTGCTCGGGTCAGGTCTCTTTGCCACCCCCACACGACTTAATTTCTCCTCGTCTCTGCTCTGCGCCCACACGCACAAACGAAGTAAACAAGCAGCGACTGCGCTGCGCTGCTTTGCTCTGCTTTGGTCTGCTCTTCTCTGTTGGCGTCGCGCATGCTGTCGTTGCTTCCTAGTTGCATTTGCTTCTACCGGCACTCACACATACATATTGTAAGCAGGCATGTGTTCGTGTCTGTATGTACAGTTTACATTGCAGCACGACGAGCGCTCGCGCTGACGCGCTCTCTCACTCTCTCTCGCTGTCGCTCGGTTGCTCTCTTTGTTTGCGCTGCTGTGCAAACAAGTGTTTGTTTGCCGCGTTATAAACGGCGGAGCCAGCCTCGTCCTTAACAAACATATGTAATTCGACCCACACACACACACACCCCGCACAGCAACGCCCCGCCTGCCCACGCTTAAATTACAACTAGGCCAGCAAACGAGCTTTCGCACTCGTTAGCATGCAAAGACCAAAAGCTCTTTATGTATTTGTATCGCATCGAATTTGTACTAATTAACATTTCGCTTTGATTTCATTTCACTCTGGCCATGACTTGCAATTTAAGATATTTAAATCTAAAATAAACAAGAAATTTCTAGTCGTGCCTGTTAGACTACTAGATACCCTAAATTGCAATGTTTAAGTAAAATCTGTTGGGGTCTTTGTTTTAAATGCGTAAGATATAGTTTTCCAACGATTTAATTTCCCGTTTTATGATCTTGCCTTTTTAAACAGAACAAAAGATATTTACAAAAACCTATTAACTTATTATCGTACTTCAACCACTTTTACGTATACTTAATAAAGTTCATGAAACATAATATATTAAGTATACGAATAAAATATTTTTTAAAATATTTATTATACGTATTATTCATAGTTTTATCAATAGATAGATATTATAAATATAATATATATATTATAAGTTTAGTATACTATAATAGAAGTGAGTATTATATAAATATATTTATATTTTTATTTAATACCATATTTTTTAAACATTAAGAATATATTATAATAGACCTTTTATATTTGTATATACAGGCCTTTACTGCATATACCTTAATCACAATTTAGATGGACAAAGTTATTCGGCTTTTATTATATTTAGATTTCTCCGTCTTGTAAACCGTTATATATAACGCATAATATTTAAAGCGAGCTTCATTAATCTATTAGACTAGAAGATGAATCGAGTTTATAGAAGACTTCAAGCCTAAAACAAATTAATCTAAAAACGATCGAGAGATTATAAAAAAAAATTGTATTCGATATAGATATGCAGACATATGTATGTATATTTATATTTAAAGTTAAGCTCAGTTCGTTGTCCCGACCATCAATATACATACATACATATTAGCATATTGTTAATTTTTTATATATAGTTTATTTTGAAGCGTTTTTGCTATTCTTCTAGTCAGTTTGTTCCATATAAAAATATATATGTAAATAAAATTAATTAAAATATTTCAATATACAAACTTAATGCTAATAAACACTAATATTTTAGAAATGTCATCAAATCAAATACTGGCAAAAATTTCCCCATCCCAAATTAATCAAAATAAGTCTGTAAATAAGCTTTTTGGCACTCGATTGTTAAACAGATTAAAAAAATTTCATCAAATGCGAATTCCACTACGTAAGAAATAGATAAATATACCGTTGCACGGGGTGTTGGCTAGCCGCACGTGAGACCTGCGCACGCGAGAGAGTGAAAGAGAGCGAGCTAGCAGTAAACCATGAAGAACTGTAGCTTTTACGGCTCCCACGCAAAATAGCGAAAACGCAATGCACTTTGGCAACGGCGCTGACTGAGCAGCAGTAGCAGCAGCGACAGAAGCAGCGCTGACGACTACAAAAACAAAACAGCTGCCGCTGCTACCGCGACTAACGCAAGCAATAACAATTTACACAGCATATGTATGTATGCATGCAAATGTGTGTGTGCATACAAAGACATTTTATTTGCAGAATAACACTGCAAAATACTCTGACGGCGACACTCAAGGCGAGCAAGCTTGTATGTGAATACTTAATATATGTATGTATGCATGCATATTGCACTATATTTGTGTGTATTTAAGTATGCATGTATGTGTATGGTCATTTCTATGCTATAAGTATGTTTAAGTATTGTATTTATTCATACTTAGTGATGCACATTTATCGATATACAATGAGACATATGTATGCCACACACACACAAGCGCGTACTTTCATACATATGTACATAAGCTAGCGCTAGCGCTAGCGCTAGCGTCAGCGTCAGCGTGAGCAGAAGACGGAAATACCAAACCAACGATGACGAACGTAAAAACTACGCACCAAGCAACAACAAAAACAATAACAGCAGCAGCAGCAGCAATAACGCCAACAAAAGCACCAACAATAAAACACAGCACGATAAACAAACAAACATGCAGCGAGCAGGCTGAGGTGAGCTGCGAGTGCGAGTGCGAGTGAAAAAGCAACTGAATGCGATAGAGCTAGAGTAGCATAGCACCTGCCTGGCACAGGCAACCACACATCCACAAAACAGCGCCCTTCCCCCTCCCCCCTCCCAACGATTCGACTAACTCAACTAACGAGCAAACAAAATTAAACAAATACTTACATATACACATACACATTCATACAAACATATACATGTGTATGTATGTATGTAACTAAGCAATGGCAGATTGAGGCAAAAATTCTATCAGCTTTTAGAAATTTTACTACGCCGTAGTAGAAATTTGTAGATGTGTATTTATTGTTAGTGTTATTTTCTGCCCTCGTTCGTTCAACTCGGCCTCGCGGCAGCCGCCACCCGCCGCTCCATCGACTGGATCCAAACCTGAACCGCTCCTGTCTACTTGTTTGTTTAATTTTTTGCCATTCTGCTTCGCATTCTATTTGTTTGTTTGACTCGCTGCGCATGTGTTGGTGGCAAGAAGCAACTAGCGTTCATGCGAGGGCTGTTAGAAGCGCTTATCAAACGTTTGCTTGTGCCAATGAATACATATATTCAAATATCATATAAATACGCATACGTTATTTAAAAATAGCTTAACTATTATTAGACTATGGATATTTATAATTGTTATTGTTAATATTGTTGTCAGTTTACCTAAGAATATTTGCGCATGCCATGATTACTCTTGATTTTATTGCACTTACATATGTACATACGTATGTATGTGTGGAGCTGCCCTCGTTTTTGTGTTTTGGCGCGTACTCTGTTGCTGTTGTTTTTTAAGCATGACAAAGCACCGTACAATTTCACAACAGCAACTTCATTATGATGTTCGGCTTGTTTTTCCACGAAACAACTGTTTACCGAACGTGGCGGCTCTGCCGCTGCAGACGTCAACAGCGCAGTGGTGGCGCTGTCTGTTCTCTGTGCATACATTTGTACATACACACACATATACACGAATATGTAAGTATGCGTTCGTGTGTGCGTACGTTGTGCTTGTTTCATTCAAACGTCCACCGAGAAATTTCATTTCAATACGCAGCCCAGCCAGCGACGCGTCGCAGTCGTCGCATTTGTAGGTTCGTTACAAATCGATTTCGATAAGTTTGTCAGTGTTTGTCGGGAAAAAGCGACGCACAGTTTAGATTCAGACGTTAGCTGGTGTGGTTCGCGAGCGCTTGTATCACAATAAGAGAGAGAGTAAGGTTTGGGCGCGCAGATGAAACTAGCGGTAACGGTAACATCGCGTTTGCTTCTGAATAGCAAGTGCGAGTGCGAGTGTGAGTGCGGGAGGAGGCGACGTGCCATTAACAGCAGCACTCTGCTGTTGCTGTTGCTGTTACTGTTGTTGTTATTGTAGTTATTATTGTGTGTTTGCTGAACAAATAAAGGAAAAACAAATATGCGCATAAAGAAACGGCTTTGATATAGTTTCTGAAATGGAATGCCAAATTACAACAAATTCTAAAATGTAAAATACCAAATACGCAAATTACGCTAAAAGTGTTTTTTTAATATAAGCACACATACATACAAGTATATATATATATATAAATGTATGTAGATATGTATATACCATAATATTATTTTTATTTACTATCTCGCTTGCTGTTTGTGCGTGTGCGTGCGTGTTTACGTGTTTGTGTGTGTGTGTGTGTGAGTGTTTGCAGTTCGTTTTTTACGTGCTTTGAAATTTATTTTTAAGTTTTTGATCCGATTTTTATGTTGTTTACTTTTTGCGATGTTTGAGTTCAATTTGTTCCTATTTTTCGTTATTTTCGGAATTGTCAGAGGCCCACAAATGTTTATCATGTGAATTCGTATGAAAATGTTTTACAAAATTGTACATTTTTAAATAATTAATATAATTAAATAATTAGTTAGTGATGAATCATAAAAACTATAACTATGTAAAGTGAAATAAATTTAAACAAAATAATAACAATAAATTTGTGCTGTGATTAAATATAAAAACTACAGATTTACAAAAAAAAAAAAAAAAAAAAAAATTATATGTACACATAATATTAAATAAAAAAATAAAAAACAAAATCTGTGAACAAAAATCCAAATCGAAGCTGTAATAAAAAGCGTGTCATATTAAGAAAAAACCCAAATACCATTCAATTTCCTATGAAATCCACGGAAATAAATACGAATGAAAAAAATTTAACACGTAAATAAACAAATGTGTGAAAAATCCCATGCCAAATGGAAGTGAATTCCCAACAAGTTACTTAACGAGTCCCTTAAAACTATGCTATTGTCAAAAAAAAGGGTCCCAAAATAATTATAAAAATAAAAAACAAATTATTTGGAAAACAAGGTTAAGTGAATCGATAAGACCAACAAGAAATGCCCTAAAAAGCGCTTAAAAACAACAAAAACAAATATATAAACGAAAGCTGAGTCAGCTGAATTAAATTCAAGTAAAGAAACAAGACACAAATTAAAAAAATTAAAATAAAAAAGGAAAATTACATTTAAAAGCCAACTCAATAAAATTAAAGTAAAATACTATGCACCTACAAAGCCCATTGTTTTTCCCCGTTAAATACACATGTGTGTGTGTGTGTGTGTGTGTGTGTGTGGCTTGTTTGTGTGTTCGCTCTTACCGTTATGATTCATTCAGCTGTTCGCGCAGCAGCAGCAGCAACAGCAGCACTTTGCGCTCTGCGCAAAAAGTTCTGAGCAACGCAATAATACGTGTACTAAAAAAACATTTGTATTAAATACAATGCGTGCTAAGCTAAATTATCAAGCAAATTGTCGTCGCGACACCAAAGCAAACTAGCGAACGAACGAGCAAACGACCGACCACGAACGACTTACCAGGAAGCAAATCGGGCGACAAAGATAGATGTCAAATCGAAATGTCGCTCACTCACACACACCCATGACAGCGTGTGCCTGTGTGTGCGTGCGTGTGCACATAGTCCGTCGCGCAGTTGAAACGAATGAAAGCGCACGTGTCCCTGCTCAATTATGCTTGCGCGTGTGTGTGTGCGCGGGTGCGTGTGTGTGAGTGTGTCTGTGTGTGTTGTGTGTTTTTCTGTGCAAAAAAGCTTCCGTCTATTGTGAATAACTGGACTGTTATCGATGCTTTTATTTTCGCTGTGACTTGTGACATTTGGCGCAAACGTTTTCCTCGTCACCGAGAATTTCTTTTGAAAATGTTAATCGATGGCCAGGAAAAACAACTGCAAGATACTTGAAATGTTTATTTTTCCTCTTCGCTGAATAAGCAATTAATTATAGAATGATACATATGTATGTTTGTATCTGTACAATGGAAATCAACAAAGAAATCAAGTGTGAATTATGATCAGAATTGCATACGGGTTCGGCTCTTTAGATAATTCATTTCCGCTTATCTAGTCTATTATTGCTTAACAAATATTGCATTTATAGGCAAAAACAAATAAATCAGAGACCGTAAATAGATTTCGTTAATCTATTGAATATATGTATGTACAATATAATTCTGTTGGCTAACTCAAGAAGAGTATGTCTATTTTTTTTTTTTTTTTTATTCTTCTTTATATATAAATATATTAATTCTTCTTTTATATATAAATATATTAAAAAAATATACAAGTATTAAAACAAAAAAAAAAAAAAAAAAAAAAAAAAAAAAAACAATAAATAATTTAAATCTTTATGTCTTATTATTACCGAAATTCTTGATAACAAAATCAATTTCCTTTTTATCTATAAATATAATAAATAGATTGCATTGTTATACCCGAATTAAACAAAGATTTTTAAATACATGCATACATACCTGTATGTACGTAGAACAGCAGGAGTGAGTGTATGCATCTTCTAGTCAGGTACTCCCGATTAATTTTACGGGGAAATCCCTCCGAAAAATTGTATTATTCTTGGCTATCTCTAGCCAAACAAGTCATAAAGTCTATGCCTTTAAAGATTTTAATATATTTTCTATAGTATGCTCTAATCGAAGATTAAATCACACTGATTTCCAAACGAGAAATGAAAGACTAAAAAATATAATAATAAATGATTAGGAAACTTTCATTTGTTTAGTATAACAACAATTGAGGTCAAAGTTCGCAAAAATATATAAATAAGTGAAAATTAACTAATACAATTAAATGAATTACTAAATTGAAGCTATTTCCTTCGATTCCAGTGTTGCGAGCTTATCAACAAAGATCAGTTAATAAAATGTTGATTGAATGCATTTCGCGTTGCATTCCATAAACAACTAGAACCAGAGAAACGGAACAGAAATTGAAAAAAAAAAAGGAAAAACTTATAAAGCTTATTAAGCCAAGGGAAAAAACCCACCGAATATATAAGCAAAATAATCCCAATAAAGAGAGAGAGAGAGAGAGAGAGAGAGAGAGAGAGAGTAAAAGATTCAAGTGACTTTTGCTTGAGACAGCAAATGAACTTCAATCCAGAGAGTTTTGTAGCCACAGCAGCTGCAACCGTCCAGAACTCTCATCATCCTTGCCATCAGCCAGAGCAGCAGCAGCACCTGCAGCATCACAATATACCACTGCCGCCCAGTTACGGGATCGAGATCAGTATCGGGTCGGGCAGTGGTAGGAGCAGTGTCGGAGGTAGCGGCGCTGGTGGCGGCGGCGGCGGCAGCGGCGGCGGCGGCAGCGGCAGCGGCGGAGGTGGTAGCAGTTCACCTAAAATCATGGAATGGACCAACGACGATGCCTTGGAGTTAATTGAACAGTATCGCTGCCATACGGAACTGTGGAATCGGGCCGATCCCAAGTACAAGGACAAACTGTGTCGGTTCCGGGCGTGGTCAGAGATTGCGGAGCGATTCGGCTGCAGCAAGGCTGAGGTGGAGCGCAAGATGAACGTGCTGCTGACACAGTACAGGCGCGAGAAGCACAAAATGTTTGTGAAAATCTATCAGGGCATACAGCCGAATCCGTCCAAGTGGTATGCCTTCAAGCGTTTCGATTTCATGGAAGCCGGCGGCGGCAGCCTGAGCGGATTACCAGCCGGCTTGGGCGGCAGTGCCGCTTCGTCATCGTCCAGCACGACGCACAATGGACTGAATGGACTGGCCGCTGCAGCGGTCGCTGCTGCTGCTTACGAGAACAGCACCATCGCTGCAGCGGCCAATGGTGGAGCCACCGGCCCGATGGGGTGTGCAACTGGTGCCACAACAACAGCATCTGGAGCGGCGATGCCTGCATCACAGCACAGACGCATCAAAACCAAAGAGCTCAAGTATTTTGGAGCGGTGAGTAATCAGCGCAAAAAATAACCGAATGCGTAAGCATTTGTTCCAATGACATCGGCATCAGCACGGTGACAAACAAACCGCGAAACTCAGCAGAGAGAGCGAGAGAGGAGAGCGAATGTGGTGTGCATGACCATTGACTAGCCAAGCGGACCTATTGTATAACCCATGGCTGGCCAAGGGGTGTGAATCAGGCCCATGTGCAATACACCCATAGTTATCTATGTGCATATGTATATGTGTGCGTAGGCCTTCATTGATTATTGATAGAATGAAAGAAAACAAGTATGTATGCTTATCGCCAAAAATTTATGAATAGCAAAGGATGATAAAGATTTGTTATTAACCCAATAATGTTTATGATTATGAATGAAACATAAGAAGGGGATTTTTTTTTTTTTTTTAAATTTTTTTTATATAAATTTAAAAATACATGTATAAGAATAATGTGTACTTTTCAATATTTTCATTTGAAAGTTACATTTGCTTTGCAGCAGTCACCCCACACACACACACACACACATGCACACGCCACTCTCCGCTGTCACTCGGGTGTTAATTTCAATCAAAAGCGCAAAGTAAACTGTGTGCTGAATACGCTGAGACTGAGAGTCCAATGAAACGCCATGTGCGCAAGTGACTTGCTGTTTCTGCTGCCGACAGCGAGAGAGCGAACAGCATTTACCTCGACTATCCATCTCTCTCTCTCTCTCTCCCTCTCTCACACACAATCGTTGTTCGTATCATTTTTGTCTTTGGCTGTGTGTGAGTGTGTGTCGGTGTGTTTTGTTGTTGACGATCAAAACAGAATTAAAATTTTACCCATAAATTTTTCTTAGGAATTTGCTGCTGTGTGCGTGAGGTATTGCCCTGAGTTACGAGAGAATCTGTGCATATGCATATGTGTGCGTATTTAAATAATGTACTGTGTGTGCGTGAGTTGTTTTTATGTATTTGCTTTGTCGCGTCAAGCAAGCAAGCAGCAGCAGCAGCAGCAGCAAGCTTTCGTTGCCGTTGAGGGGAACGAGTGCTGCTGACATTTCGTCGCCGTTGTCGCTCACATGCTCTGTTTTTGTCTGATGAAATGTTTGTTTTGCACGGCAAAATACGCGCAGCACTTGCCGTCGTCGACGTCGACGTCGTCGTTGCCGTTGTTGTGAAGTTTTGGTTTGTGGTTGCCCCGTGGCCTGTCTTGCGCCCCTCTCATGCATGTATGCGTATATGTGTATGTGTATGTGTATGTGCATGTATGTACATATGTATATTTGTACATGCATGTATGCATGTGTGTTGATTGTAATTCGTTTGCTGTTCGTTTTCCTTGTGTGCTTTTGTTTTTATTTTTACTTGCGCCTGTGGTTTTCATTTGTTTTATGTTGTTGTTGCTGCCGCTGCTGCTGTTGTTGTTTTTGCTGTGTGTCAGAGTTATCAAAACAAAATGCCAAGCAGCAGTATTGCTTTAGTTGCTCCTGTTTTCATTTGCTTGTGCTGTTATTTCTAAAAAATAAATACAATTCCGTACGCAGTAGCAATTGAATATTCTCGTTTTAGCTGTGTAGGTAAACTCTATTTATTTTTATTATACTGTCAAATTGCATATATTTTAATATATTTTCTCGCGCAACATAAAAGTCTATTTCTATTCCTTGTTCAGCCCTCACACCCACACCCACACACACACTCACACAGAGTGCTTGCTTGCACTTTTTACTGTTTTTCTCAGGGCCGAGTTGTTTTTGTTATTCGTCATTATTTGGGTGCTGGCGCCCACGCTTACGCCCACCCTTTCCACACTTAGCCTTCCACTGTACATACCTGAGTAAAAACATATGTATGTACGCATGCCACTACTTCTATTCTTGTATATCCGTGTATGTATGTATATACTTTGCTCATATTTTACAACTGTTTTGTTGTGGAATTTTCTCCAAGACACCAAATAACAACAATGTGTCTGTCTTGTTGTTGTTGCTGCTGCTGCTGGCATTCGCGTCCCGCAATGTTGTGGTTATGCCCAACGACAGCAACAGCGACGTCGACGTCGACGTCGATGCCGATGCCGATGCCGATGCCGACGTCGACTTGAGGCGTCGTAGACTGCATTTTGATACCGCTACGCCGCCCTTGCCCATTCCCGTTGTTCGTTTCGTCTATTCGCTCGTATCCCTGTCCCTAATCCCCTTTCAGTTTGTTTGTGTTTATAAAATGCACGCCTGCTTCCTATTGTTCTTGTAGTTGGTTGGAGCAGTAGCAACTGTTGTTGTCGCTGCTGTGTGTTTGTAATTTGCGTGTTTTGTTTTCTCTCGCATGCGCTTTTATAAAGCGCCTGGTGCGCGGGCCCCCTACAGAGCCGAGCTGAGCTGAGCTGAGCTGAGCAGAGCAGAGTAGAATTGGGCTAGGGTGGGGCGGGGCAGGGTGGTACCGAGAAGTGCAAACGCAAATAAGCAGCAGTAGTCACAGCAATGCAACCAAAAACACAGACCCAACCAGGCAGCCAGGCAGCGAGGCAGCGCAGCTGGCTGCAACTGCGACGCCAGCGTTTGCTTTTGTTTACTCATTCATTGCGAAGTTGCTTAGCTATGCGCGCAGCGTTGCCAGCTGGGCAAAAAAAAAAAGAAAAAAAAAATAGCAACAACAACAGCTCCAGCAGTGGGGTAAAGGTCCGAAAAAAGGTTAGGTGGAGTTTTGTTTTTGTGAAAGTTTTGCAAGAATTTGGTCTATTTTGCTGCAGTTGCTTACAGGGTGAGTTTTTGATAAGCCCAAAGCACGCGAATATAAATGTTATAGAGAGGGAGATTTGATGACAGATTGTTCAGATTTGCTGTACGATATAGGGAACTGGGGCTTTGATAAATGTGAGCGTATTTAGTTAATTGTTCTGATTTGGGCCATCTAACATCCTAATTTTTTGATAACTTTCAATAATGATCAATCCTATTTCTTTTATTTGTAATGTATAATGTATCTATTTAAGTAATAATACTGCGACACATAAACTTATGAAAGACATGACAAACTCGCGACTAAGTGATGCTCGCTTACATTTAGGCAACTGGTGACGTTCTGTTAGTGCAACTGTAACAGTTGACTGTATGAGTGTGTGTGTGTGTGTGTGTGTTGAGTGCAAAAATGTCGTATAGTCGTTTTCAAACATTTGCGTGACTACGAACTAAAACGACAATCGCTGAAATTAGAGATGATGAAAGAGAGGTGTAAAAAGGATTAGACAATATATACATAGCTAGTATTTGGAGTTGTTGGCCAGCATTGTGTTATTTATATTTATTCGCTGGCTTGCTGATAATCAGTTTGTTTACATTTTTCAGTTTCACTCGACCACACAGGCATGGAGAGCAAATTTTCACACACACACAAATACGAATACGAACTAACAGACACACACACGCGTATATAATTACATACAAACATCTGTATGTATAAATATAAATAGAGCGAGAGAGTTAATTTAGTTTGGCTGGCGACTCTGTCTGTTGAGGCACGCAAAAACAAGTCAGACACGCACATACATATGCACAATAGCTCTAAATACGTAAACAAAACAACAACCAAAAACAGCTGCAGCAATAAAAATAACAACAAAGCAAAACGGCAACGACACAAACAACGAATCGAGTAGTTGGGCAGTTGTTGTTTTTTTGTAAATTTGTAGAAAGTTCTAGGCGCCTGCGGCTAAAGACGCAGCAAGTTTCAAAGACACAAAGAGAGAGAGAGAGAGAGAGACGCGAATGAGTGCGGAATGATCGCTCATGACTATGTACATTATTAGCATGTTGTTTGTCGTTCGCCCCACCAACGTGGGGTAGGTTGTTAATATTAATGAAATACCATAGCTGCTGCTGCCGCAGTCGTCGTTGACTTAGCTTTTCATCTTTCCTGTGCGCTTCTCTTCTTCACATTGGGTTTATAGGTTGCGCTTCACTTAAAGCCGTTAGAAGGCTCTCACTAATGCGCTCTCGCGCTCTCTCCTTCTGGACATACACATGCACACGCATAGGCATACATGATAATGTGCAAGCAACAACAAACTGTATAGGAATCTCCCGTTGACGCTTGCTGTTGGCTCTCTCTCTCTCTCTCTTCTCTGTTTGTGTGTGACGTTATGATGTCGCTTTTTAAAACTTACTACGCCGCTAGAATATTTCGACAATATGAGTTGTGTTGTCGGTGTCGTCGCGTCGTTCGATCGCAGCAAATGCGCGAAAATTTCATATTTGCACTATGCATTATAACAGTAAAAGCCATAAAAGTAACCAGCCTATGGTATCGCCGTACCGCAGCATTACAACTGCTGGAGCTGTAACAACAAAAACTGTACTAAATTTGCTTAAGCACAACAATTTAGTGTTATAATAATATAAATTGGCAAAAACAAAAAAACTACTGCTAGAAGTTGTGAACGTGTATGTAATATATAGGAAGTTGACATTTCGGTGTGATATACATACATATGTATAAATACTATGTGAAGTTTCCAATCCTCCTGTATTTTAGTCCTGTCAACTCGCATATCGCAAGTTCATTTCTTACACACCCATATACATATGTATGTGTGTGTGATATGCACGACCTTCATAAACTAAAGTTTATTTGAAACCTATGAATAATTCGCGATTAAATTTTGTTTACCTGACTATCATATCAAATACATGCATGTAGGTCTTTCGTATAGAAACAATTGTAGTCGAAAATAGATTTTGTTTTAAAGATATGTAGAGCTACCAGTCGTAGAATAGCATTCATAAGAAGCTTCATATAATGAGCGTATACTTTATTGGTAAGCAACAATTATTTATCTTTTCAGTATTTTGGGTGGTGTACTCCTTTTGAAGGTGTACTTCCACGTATTCATTATGATTTAGTCGTATTTGTAATCTAATCGATCTGGGCTTTTTCTTATTGATATTTAAACCATTAAACCATTACCATTATGAACTTTTCTGTGGCATCATGGAACTTAGGGAAAATGTTAAGACAAACTATCATCGTGACAATCCCATATGTTCCACATATCCAGATTCAAAGTAAATGTATGAATGTAGTATTATCTTAGCCGCAGTTATCTGAACAATTTAGAGCTATATAATAACCGTAATACAACATTAATAACTAATGAATTTCAAATCACTTTGTTTATTTTCATAGATGGGCCTAAATATACCTATGCTGATAGCAAATAGTCAATCGATGGACAATTGGAATACGGCGGGTCAATACTCGCCGCCGATAGGTGGCGCTGGTGGCGGTGGTACAGGAGTCGTGGTGCCTAATGCACAGCAGGAGCAGCAGCTGCGCGTTTCTATGCCAATGTCTTATGGTGCTGGTGGTGCCGGTGGTGCCAGTGGTGCGCCCTATGCGGTCGGCGGTGGAGCAGGTGCTGGTGGTGCTGGTGGTGCTGGTGGCGGTGGCGGTGGCAGCAGTAGCAGCGATTTCCAGCCCAGTCCCCATAAAACCATCGATACATCGGATAACGAGGATAACATTATGAGAGATGAGGCGACGGCGACGGCGCTGGGGCAGCTGGCGGCCAAAGTGGAGCGTCGCTCCACGCCGCTATCCTCCAATATGGGCGGTGGCAGCCGCAGCGGCAGCAGAGACGGCGGCATCGGCAACGCCCTGGATGCTGGCGAACATCCTGTCGCCGAGCCAGCGCCCATTGCGGCCGCCTTGAGCGAGGCCGGTTCTAGTCCAATACCCAACACAAACACCAACATACACGAAGCGCATAAGAATCACCTACTGAAATCGAGTCCGGGTTCGGTGCGTGCCGTGACGCCTCGGCATGCGCATGAGCAGCTGCATCATGGCCATCATACGCTGCGCCAGCATCAGGATGAACTAGATATTAAGCAGGAGCTCGTTGATTACTTCCATCCGCCGTCCGTTTCAGCAGCTCCGCCGCCGCCTGACTCACATCGTTCCTATAGCTCGTCCGGCGAGGAGAATCGCCTGCATTTGGACATGGCGCAGGACTTGCGCGTTGCCCAGGCCAAAGCTCAAGCCAATTTCGGCCAGTTCGTGCTGCCGCCGCGCAGCAGCAGCGCCCAATTGGCAGCGGCAGCGGCGGCTGCCTCCATGCCCCTAAATATGCGCAAACTGACGGCCGGCTCCAGTGCCGGCCACATGCTGATGAATTCCCTGCTCAGCTCGAGGGCGAGCATGTCGGATGGCGACGACAATGATGAGGCAACCGAGTCGGCAGCTAGTCCTGGCCACATCAAGAGCAGCGTCTCGGCCCAGGACGCCAGCTCGACGGCGGCAGCGGCTGCTGCGCTATACGCAGAGAGTCTCACCCGGGACGATTGTGATTTCGTGGGCTCCAATGTGTCGATGAAGCTGCGCACCATGGATCGTACGCAGCGCATCATTGCCGAGAAACTAATTAGCGAGGTGCTCTTCTTTGGCCAGTTCAATGAGCTCGAACGCACCGCGTGCATCCAGCCCAAGTGACAACGACATCTGACCAGAGAGTGGAGGCGGGTAGGTTTAGTTACGGGAACGGGAGCGGGAGCGGGACTAGGCATGGGAATGGGAATGGGTTATACAGCTGCGAATGGCATGGCAACGGGTTTGGAAATGGCTTGGAACATGGCAAATAGACCTAACCAAATTTCACTGTGAAATAACCAAGAAAACAACAACAACAACAACAACAAAATACAAAACAGTACAATTTACTTTTAGTTAATGCGAGTCCTAGGGCTCATCTGTACAAAGCACATGTGGGCATATGGGGGGCGGGGAATGGCAGCGTTACTTAGGCATAATAGAACAGCTATATATGTAGTCAGTGACATTCAGTGATTGAATAATAGAGTCAAGTCGAAAGCAATTTCCAATCGACTGTCTATCAAATATACATCTATATATATATATTTGAGCTCACAATTGCAAAACACAAAACTAAACGACAGAATCTCAGTATTACTTATAAACAACAACAAACAAACCAACAAACAAAATACATAGCTATATGTAGCATATACCATATACATACGTACATATATAGATAGATAGATAGATAGATAGAGCAGCTATAGCAATATCTAATCTCAGCAAGCATTTGCCATGTTGGGCCAACAGACCAACCATGTCCACCTGGGGTTACCTTTGCCCAAGAGAATCACGCCCACGTTGGGCGTAAAATGACGAAAGACAAAAGTTGACCAGTTGCTGGTCAAAGTGCTGAATAGAGTGCATTCAATTTGCAATTTGATGGATCGAAAATCTCGTTCGTTTCGCATTGGTTCGGGCAGAACCAAATGATGTACATACATACCTATATAAAATAGCAACATGTACAGATCTATATGTTTTTATAGTTAGTAGTGTTATACATATACATATATATACAGATACAATACATATATATATATATATCGATGTACCTTATTTTAACAACAAAGAGAAATGTTTTTGTAGTCATTTAAGTCTGGTCGTTAACTTACAAACACCAACACACCAACAATACAGCAACTGAAACCAACCAACAAACCAACAAACCAACATAGCACTTAATTTAAGTTATCTAACAATCCATCGGCGAGCAGAGTGCGTAGATCTAAATATGAATATGAGTAAATATATAAATATATGCACTATATACAAATACATATATATATATTAAAATGTATAACTAATGCTATACAGGTCGTCACTAGTTGTTAATAAACCAAACAAATAAACAAAAAATTGAAAAAAAAAATACGAGAAAAACAAAAACAAAAATACACTATTATAAATAAATATTGTAATATTATTGTACATTATTTTGCGTAATGATGTTTGCTTAATGTTTAAGTAGACTTAGTGAAAATACAAAAAAAAAAAAAAAAAAAAAAAAAAAACAACAAATTAAATGAAAAATATTAAATTTATTTATAAAACAAGTTTTTAGTCACATTTTTTTTTTAGAATAATTAGAAAAAGGAAAACTTTTTGTTTCAACAGGTGATAACGTTTAGTTTTTTTTTAGTTTCAAGTCTTTAGTTATTATTTTGGAAGCTCTGAAACCTATTGGAATTGGGCAATCGGAGTATTATATATGTTGCTCTTTGAGTGTTACAAAAAGCGATCAGGTTTACGTCATCTGAGCTCTGCCGTTGTTGTAAAGTTAAACTTGATTCCATCCAATTAGAATATATAAATAAATTAATGAATATAACTATGTCAAAAAAAATATAAAGAACCCATTTCTGACTTGCTTAAAATTGAGTGCAATAACAGGTGCTTTTATTTCAATTCTTTTTTTTATATATTTTTTTAAATTTTTGTAATAGAATGGAATAATAGATTTGTGGGGTTCTTTATATTGGAAAACTATCTTTCTATTTGCCCAAATGAAACAATTATAGAATTATCTAAAATTATAATCATAATAGATAGATGCTTTGATAGATTTTTAATATATTTTGTGCCAACAGATCAACTTATTAGGCCTAGCCAAAACATACTTAAAAGAGCATACAAATTTCGTTAATAAAAGTTAAGGCGCAGTAAAATTTGAACATTTAGGAGAGATGATGGTTATAATTGTAAATTAAAAATTAGGTACTAGGATCGTGCGAGAGACAATGAATGGTCATATTTGTGAAAAAACTTCTATTTTACTTATATTATTATTCAAAATATGTTCCAATTCTAATATATCTCTTGTCATTGAATTATTTTTGCCATTAATTACAAAAGTTCTTAAATAAAAATATAAGTAATACAATAGATTTAAGTCACAAATAAGATCATTTTCTGTAGACTTAACTGGCAAACGAAATAACGGAATTGTCGAGGTACACAATTTAAAATCATCTCTAGCTTTCCCACAAGGCTTATAAAGCGAATTGAATTAGTATTCAACAAATATGCTAAATCAATCTCAACTCTTAGATCTAATGCGAACATAGTGAGCATTGTTGAAGTTACGGAACATTTGTAAGCAAATACATACATATATTTTGGATTAAATTATATGCTAATATACAGTTATTCAATATGGAGTGTCCTGGATTAGAGCGATTCGATTAACTAATAAAACACACAATTTTGAGGCTGCTTAAAACAAATTTAATTGGTTACATACAAGGCAGAGACTTAGGTAATTAATTATCACTTAATTGTTTTAAGACTGCTTTGCTCAAATACCCTTGACTGAGAAAATCATGATCAAGTTTTAGTATTTTACAATTTATTTATATTTTGAATGATGTTTTGCATGCCAAAATGGAAAGCGAAACGCTTAACATAAAGAGAAAAACCCCAGAATTATTTGAAACTTGCTGATGTCGGGTTTTTGGATGTGTTGTGTATTGGGACAAATTAATGTAAGTGTGTAAAATGCAGACTCCGATTTGTGCATGAATTGTCGCAATTGTGTGGCGGTGTGGCTGGCAAGACTGTGTCTGCCTCTGCTCCTCTTCGAGCTCAATAATCAAAATTGAAGGATGCATTTCGACCCCCACTGAATTGGAAGAACGAACGAAACATTTGATTTGGATCGAAGTCAGCTGTAAAACATAGAAATTTTGCATGAATAAAGCGTACCGATTTTCGAATATCATTAATATTACTAACCTTGTTCTTGCTCCTCGATGTCGTGTCCACTGTCATAACGATTTTTCTTGCGAGCATCGGAAAGAATTGCGTAGGCCTCGCCGATTTCTTTGAATTTGAGCTCCTCGTCTTTACGATTTTCGGCACTGCTGCCCGCATGCCTGTCCGGATGATGGACCAGGGCCTTCTTGCGATAAGCCTTCTTAATCTCATCCTCAGTCGCAGTGCGTGATACGCCCAATATCTTGTAATAATCCTTTCGCTTGGACTTCTTCAACGCAAACTTGGCATCGCGCAGTAAACGCTTTATCTCCGGTGTCTTTTCCAACTGTAGAGCTGTCTCATAATCGGCTACCGCCTCCTCAAACTTCTCGAGATCATTGTGGCAGCGGGCGCGCAGCAACAGCGCCTTCAAATACTGCGCGTTGAGCTCCAGCACGCGATTACAGTCAAGAATAGCTTCACGTAGTGAGCCGATGCGCGTATTGACAAGCGCACGATTGTAAAGTAGCTTAGAGTTAATATCCTTATTGTGCTCGTCAATTTTCAGTGCGTCGGTGTAAACGACATGTGCCTCCCGATAGCGTCCCGACTTGAACAATATATTTCCATTTTCCTTCATCTCCTTGAGCTGCTTGCATTTGCTGCGCATGCGCTTCGATTTCTGGTGATCGGGGTCCAGTTGCAGTGCGCGCTCAAAATGCAGTATACCCTTCTCCAGATTGTCCGTATAGTAAAGGCATAGACCACGAACATAAATGGCATCAGCGGAAGTGCTGTCCAGTTTCATGACGCCAACGGCGATATCCAAGGCCTCATCACAACGTCCCAAATAAGCCAGACACTCGGCCTTCAGCAAGCGATATCTGTCAATTGGTAATTGAGTTAATCAAACTAATATTGATCACAGGGATTGCAAATACTCACCGAAGGCAGGCAGGCGCTATCTTCAGAGCGCTGTCCAAATAGAAGACTACATTCCGATAGGCTTGTGTGTCGTAATTGTTCTGTACAGTGGTCTCCAATTGGCGCAGCTTCTGCACGGACTGCTGCTCGCTAGTGAGAGCCGAGCTCTGCGGCTCCAATTCCAGGACAGTCTTAATTGCCTGCTCGGTGCCAATGATGTCGCCCAGTGCCAGGCAGCACTTGGCCACACGCACATAAGCCTTCTCGAAACTGGGATCCAGACGAATCGCATGACGGGCATCCGTAAGGGCGCTGTTATAGTTGAGCAACATCATATAACAGGCGGCACGATTGCCATAATAGGCAGCCGAATCTGGACATAGCGAAATGGCATCTGAGTACAACTTCAGAGCATTCTGATAGTTCTGTGCCTTGTATTGGTCGTTGCCCAGTTTCTTTTTCTCCTCGGCAATACTGCAAAAGTAGAGAAGAGAAGTAAGTAAATGAATTGCCAGTCGGGAGGTTTAATGTGGGGTGTGTGTATATGCCGTATATGCAAACCAGAGGTCAATGTGCTGCTCGCTTCGCATTTTAATTTCAAGAGACTTGAAAAAATAGAACAAGCACAATGTCTGTCAGTTGTATGTTATTAATAGCAAAAGAAATTCAGCACTTTTCTTGTGGAAATCGACTTTGTTTTCTTCTATTTTCTTTTTCTTTTTTTGCAAACGTAGTCATTTGCCATAGAGGACACAGCTCTAGTATTTTCATTTAAAATAGATTTGAATATTGCATGCGCATAGGGCAGGCGCAGGCAGACTTTTCTAGTCAATATTTACATAGAATAATTGCGCGAGATGGCAATAGACGAACGAGCTAACACGAAAACGAATTGTTTCGAATTTCCCTATTTGCCAACAAATAAAACTGAATTTTACTAAACTGAACCCAGAGTTTGTTTTTCAGCATTCTAATTTAATTCAATCACACGCGAAATCAAATCGAACTAACGAAATAGCTTGGGGCATCTCTCATGGCTGCCCGGTAAAACATGGCAAATAGAATCGTGGAAAACCTGATTGAAGAGTGAATCGAGCAACCGCTGGATATATCGATATATAAACGAGGATTCATATTGGCTGAAGTGCCCAGAGCTCTTTGCATAGGTTAAACAAAGAGCAAGATAAGAGACAACATGAGTCTATTCTCGCTGTAATACTCGACGACGTACGATCTCAGAGTCAAGGCCTTATGCATTAATAAATGCATAGAGAGGAGAGTTTCAATATCAAATGTTCCATTTCCATTCCATTTTTTGAGCAAGTTTAGGCATATAAATAGGGAAGTCGACAGTGTTTCCACGACACAGTAAGAAATCGGGTGCCGAGCAGCAAGGTGCTTCTTTATCCTGACTGGAACTTGGATACCAATTTCTCTGAAGCTCTTGCAAACTCTAAAAGCGTCAACTAAAAAGTCAATATGTTTGTGCTGCAGAATAGCATGAGTAAATGAACTCAACGTGCTTTATGCATTTGTGGAGCTGCATAATACCTGCTGCTGACTGCCGAGTGCTAATTCCACAAGGGGTACGGTGCCACCACCTCAGGGCATTGGCTGCATATTGAGTCCACTGTAATATAGAATGCATTGTATGACAAGATTCTCAGAATTGTTCCTAAGCACGGCATCTGTTTTGCTGACGTCTTTCTATTAAGGTTAAACTAAAGAACAAGACTAGAGATTCTAAGCAATGTACAATACAAAAAGGTTTGTAATCGACAGCAATTGGAACTAAATGAAATGGTAAAGGAAGCAGTAATAAATATATATATAGATTTGCTTGATATAATATATAAGTTATATATATAATTATAGGTTATATAATATAATATACGCATTAAGAATATATATAAGCTTTGAGGATTTAGCCAGATAGTTAAGTTATTTATCAATATATAGAATTTATATAAATAAAGTTGATTTTTTTCACGAATTAGAATTTTTTAAATAGATTATCAATATAGTTATATCAACATTAATCAATTTTCCTGAAGATCTGAAGCAAATGAAAACAATGTATGCATGTGATGTATATACCCGTTTGGAATGCTGCTCGGCAAGGCGACACACCTCAAACAAAATTCTCTTGAAAGTTTTTAATGCAACTGCTGTATATATATATATATTTGACCTAATTATGTACAAATCGATGATGAGGCAATATTGCCTATAATGTAGTTCAGCTTAAAAGAATTTTCAAATTTCCTTAGTTAATTTGCTAGAGCTCTTAACTCATTTTCATTTCAAGTTACTTCGTAGAGTTATAGATAATTGAAAATATCTATTAATAAATGAGGCGTGAATAATACCCATACTAAATAAAATAAAATAATAATAAAATATGTGTTATATAATTATAAATAAAACAACAACTTACTATAACATTTTTTACTTTTCTGTAGGCTTGCTGTTTTTCGGGTTTTCTTTCTGTTTTTTACAATTTCTTTTTTTGCAGCTGCCTTACGAAAGCTAAAAATGATTTTCAACGTTTTCTCTGTAGTCTTCTGTTTTCATTTATTTTACTTTATTTTATTTTTATTTCTTTTCATTTTTTCTGTTGTTCTTGCTGTAAATTTGTCTTTTGCCTTTGCACGTTGCTTTTTAATGATGTCTGACACACTTTTTTCACACGTAAGAAAAACTATTTTATATATTTATTTGATTGAATTTTTTTTTAGTACAAGTAATTAAAACAAAAATTTTGCTTTTAGTATAAAGACAACAAATTCAAAGCCCAACGTGACAGCAAGTGCTCAACGACTTATCAACTGAAATTGATATAACTGATTTAACTAAACCCAAAGACGATCAATTACGCCATGCCCGCAAAACCAAATTGCGATCCGACAAACGAAGAGATTTACAGCGATGACAGAAACGCACTGCGATTGCAGACAAATGCAACGCGGCCAGGCGAAGCAGATGCGAAATGCAAGAGAGCAGAATGAGCAAGAAATTCTAAATGCGAAAAGAACGAACTCTTTGGGAGAAGGCCGACAGTTGAATACTCTGCGAGAGATACAAAATATGTAAAATTATTTGTCACATTGCTCCTAGAGAAGGCATTTGATATAGTCAGGAATTATTATACATATATATATATATATATATTTATTATACATACATACATATATATATATATATATATATATATATATATATATATATATATATATATATATATATATATATATATATATATATATATATATATATATATATATATATTGTATATATGTTTAGTCTGCGTAACAGATATCTCTTAGAGTAAGCATATAGCATTGATTCTGATTTAGCTAAGATTTATTACATATGATTTTTATCAAAAACCAACTTCTGTTAATGAACATTTTAAAAAGTTCGCAAACAAATGAAAATACCTCTTGCAAAGGTGCAAACATAATCCAAACGAGATGCGAAACTCGTTTAGTCCCACACTCTTTTTTTCGTAAAACAAAAATTACAATTGGCAACATTATGAAATGTTCTCCGACTATTAACCAAAGAGACTTTGAACTTTGTCTTTGCTATTCGACTTTTTTAAGAACTCTAAAAAAAGAAATTTCAATCTAATACCTAAGATCATTATACGAAATTAAGAGAATTGAAATAATTATCTCTGTCTGTCTATGAATTGCAAATATAATTTATATCATCAAGCTGAAAAGTTTAGAGGACTGTGCTATTTATACATAATAGATATATCATTTTACTGAATATATTATTTTATTTTATTTTTCTTTCTTTCAATTCAGACCGACCCATTTAATATGTAATTGATATTATCATTTCTACTAAAATTATAATAATATAAATTCTTTTAATTTTCAAACATTTCTCAAAATTTAAAATGATCTAACTATAAGAGTTCTATTAACATAGAGCTACCATACCATATCATACCATAAATGATTTTTTTTTAATCCATGCAATTTTTTGAAAAAAAAAGCCGATTTCTTAAAATTTTTTTAAAATTTAGAACTGTAACTCAAAATATAAAATATAAAATTTCATTCATGCTGAAAAAAAATATGGTTTTGAAAAGCTTCTCGCAACTCTCGCAATTCTATGATTCATCATTCACATATTATCTCGACCTGAAATATATATACAAATATATTTGATTGTTGTTTATAAATGTATAAATGAGATAGATAAAAAAAAAAACCCAAACGTGATAACAGCAATATAAAAGTTGATGTTTTGTTTTCAAATTTGTTGTTGATTTTAGAATACATTTCGAGAAAAAACTAGATTTTTCTATATAGAAAAAGAATTTGAATTATTGAAGTATATACAAAAAGAAATAGCACTGAGTTTAGCTCTAACAAGTTTAGAAACCACTTTAAGCAACCGCAAATGTTTTATAACTTAATACAGTGGAAATAATAACCAATTGAGTGCTTATGCACGTAGGAGTATGAGAATACGACGACCTACAACTAAGAACATTCAAAAGTATGTATTTACTCACACTCAAACACATATAGTGGAATATGTATAACTAGCTTAAGGTATGTGTGTATGAAGCACAATATACATACATATACAAGCCACCAATACACTTAAGCTTAAGCGAAAACGTGTTTCTGCACAACAAAGATTTCAATTGGGCAACATTAAATACGAAGAGGGAAGGAGATAGTAGAGAGAAAGAGAGTGAGCAGAGCCAAATGCTTATGCAGCTAGCTGCTTACGCATAGCAAATACCACGCACAAAAAACCACTTTCATCGGGAGTAAGCGACTATGCAATCCTCAATTTAGAGCGAAATTAGCAATTAAATTAATTATTGATGTTTGCTTGGTGAACATAGTAACAATAGACGATGTACGCGATTATTCAAAGACATTGATCGATTATATAAAAGTACAACGAGCTCAAAAATGTATCACAATTAAGCAATGAATAATTGCGTGTCTGCTTTTCGCAGCTACTATGTATTTCAGATTGTTTTTGGCTGTCAAGTTGACTCTGACATTGCCATGGGACAGGGCCACACATACATATGTACATACATACGTACGTTCGTTTCTGCGTGTGTATGAATGTATGTTGCTTTAGTTTTACTTACGTTGCGGTGTCTTTGGGCACAATTTGCTCGATTTCATCGGCTTCGGTCATCTCCACTTCCATATCAGATGATGAAGAGATCTCCTCGCGTTCGCTATCGCTAATTTCGATGACGTCCATTCGCAATAACAAATATGGGGCAGTAAAATGGCCTTTGCTAGGAAGAAGTTTGTTTGTGCTTTTTTTCTCTCCTCTTTGTTTTGCACTAGCAACCAAAATTCGTTTCTGAAAAATGATTTCGACAACTACCCTGGATTTTGTGCAGTCAACTCCGTACTATCGTCACAGTTATGGAAATATTTAATAACGCTGATGTTTTTGATCTATTGCACAAGCAAAAACAATACTATTGTCGCATGTTATTAAATTTGTTAAATTAGTCCTAAAATTTTGACCCGACAGACAGCATCAGCGTGCTTATGAAAGAATGAGTAAAGCTATCGATGTTGCTGTTGACACTTGCGACTATTTTCAGAGATGGTGGTGAACAAAATATCGGCTTTAAAAAAGTAACTATTATAAAAAAATGTCAAGCATATAATAATAATGTCCTAGCGATGGAAAAAATATGTTACTTTAAAATAATACACTTAAAATATATTTTATAATATACAATACTTATAATAGTTAAACAGTGTTTTTACTTATCGATATATTTAGTATTTTTTCAGAAATTAGTAAAAATTCAAATATTTTGGCTGAAATATTTTAAAATCATTTCGATATTGGTTTTAACTTCCACAGCATTGCCTTTATGATAAGACCAAATTATATCTCCATTAAATTTGTTTACATATGTATAATATTTGTGAATAAATATTTTCAGATGTAATGATTTCTTTTGACTTAAAAGAAACCCGATTACAATAATACACTAAGTAATTAAACAAAGTAAGTAAGTAAGTAAGTTATTAAACAAGTAAATTTGAATCAATATATAAATATTTATATTTTTTTTAAAGTAGCTATCGGTCTCGAAAAATTGGGGTTACCATATTCCTCGATACATTTAAACAAGTTCTGTAGCAAACAGCTTTTTGTTATATGTTATTGGCGCGAATTTAAAGCAAATATTCGGATGCAAAAAATAAGCAAGCAAATTTTAGACGGAGAACATATTCGCTTTACACTTTAATTAGTGCCTTTGGAAATCTGGTAATATTTATATATATGCAGGCATTTCAGGTCTTGAAATTGCAATTTTTATAAATATATGTATATTTAGTAGTTGTTTTTTATTTTCCCATAGCTCTCTTATGACCAATAAGATTTCGTCAAAAGACTTTTATTTTACATTTTAGAAATATTTAAATGTTATTTCAGACCAATCCATCACTTGTAGAAGCTGAAAATATACATAGCTCCTTTCCAAGATTCCGTCATTTATTCCGACAATTATAATCAAATCAACTAAAAATGTGATTTGGTTATGAGGCCTAAACCATAACTGAGCATGAACCAAAAAACTATAATTTAATGTTCAAAATGTTGAATTTGTAATTTTAACACAATTTCTTCTAGCAGGTGAGGAAGAGAAGTTATTTATTTATTTATTTTTTTTTTCATATAATGTTATTTAGCTGCGATTCTTGATTTGATGATGATATTTCTACATGAGAAGTTTCATTGTTTTCTTACATATTCCGAGTTTCTTAAATTTTTGTCTTAGTCAAGATCTGTTAATGTATAAAATTGGCAACTTTTATATATGTGAGTTTATAAAGTATATATTAAATATTTATATATATTTAATCAAATATTGATGTTAATGGTTTGAAGTGAGAAGCTTTAATAATTACATATGAAAAAGAATATATGTATATGTATGTAGAGTAGAGAATAAATACAGAAAAATAATTTTTAAACTGTTTAATCAGTTAACCACAAGCTTAAACACATTCAAATATGCGTAAATTTATCAAGAAAAATTGTATTGCAAATCCTTATGACATATAGCCGAAACTTATATAAAATTTACAGAACTTAAGTAGAATTTTAGTTACATAGCCTTGTTTTATGATTTGTTACCTAGCGGATGATGTATCCTTATAATCATTGTTATATGATATAATGCTATGAACTAGAACTATGATCTGGAGCTTTATCTATTCATTAATGATATGCGCAGAGCAAAATATTGTGTTGAGATCAAACTCTAAGAGAATTCAACGATCCCAGTAAACATATTATTAAAAGAGATCAATAGAAAAAAAAAAGAAGTTCTTAAAAAAAGTATGTCCAGAAAAGAGATACAACTCAAATATATATACAAATATATATGTATGTTATATGTCCTTAGCCTGTGGTCCATATAATTTCTATTAAAATTTATTGTACTATTTAAGACATATTCCATTTTTAATTTTTGCTGTTTTTTATTTTATTTTTGTATTCTCTTATAAAGCAAAATTTTAATACAAAGGAATTTCTATAATCGTTTTAAATACATATTTCAGTCTACAGAAAAGCAATGGGAATTATAATACTTGCCATAAAAGTACATATAGACACATATATATACACATATATATACACATACGAGTTCTTATAAATGTGTTTGGATGTATAACTGCAAATACATAAAAAAAAACGTCTATGTATCAACATATACTCAGCTACATACAAACATACATATGTACAATGTGGAAAAAGAGCAGAACAAAAAAAAAAAAAAAAAAAAAAAAAAAAAAGAAATGTTCTCAAAAAAACACGGCAATGAGAAGAGAACGATTTCCGATTGGTGGCGCCAACTGAAATTGAATAAGATACACAAACACATACATATAACAGAAAGAATCGCCAGCGGCAGCCACTGGGAACAAATAATAGAATAAAAGAGAAGGAAACCCACAGCATTAACGCCGAACACACACACACACTCATGCATTCGTATATACTACAAATACATTCGTATATGTACATGGTATGTGTGTGTGTGTGTGTGTATAAGTCTGTATGTATGTATATATGCATGCTTGCTACATTCATATAAAATACATACATATGTATATGTAAATATCAGAAGATGCCACAAAGGTGCGACAACGACAAGTATTTGGTATTTTATTATAAGTATAAGCGCCCCAGGCCAGGCCCCAGGCCAGCCCCAAAAGTCGAACATTCGTACTTCAGTAGGGCTCCCAACTCCTGCTATGTAGCCCAACACACGCACACACACGCTCACAGTGCATGTTTTAAAATGTCAACGAGTGCGAGCGGGATGGAAGGACGACTATTGCTAAACCGTTCAGAATCGAAGCAAAAAATTGCAAGAAATATAAATGCGACGCCGAAGACGAAATGGAAAATTGTGAAACGAATGAGAAACGAAAAGGGAAACGGTTGACAAACCCACAAATAGCATAAAAAAACAGTGAATATATGAGATGGACTTCATCCCGAGCAGTAGCGGCAGCAGCAGCAGCAGCTGTCTCGCTTACACACCCAAAAGCCGAGTTTGATAAGAATAGGGTAATGGCAATTCGAGTGTGTAGAGTAGGTTCAGCCAGCGGAGGGGTTCGAAAAACTTTGTCATTTACTTTTTTAATTGAAATTAAAATGCTTTTCCAATAAGAAAATGAGCTGTGTAGCTAACAAAAATAAAGTAAAACGAATCGCTCGCTAAGCAGCTGCGCACAAGCTGCCACCAAGTCGGAGTCGAGATCGAAGTTTAACGTCGGGAGTACACGAAGTTTTTTGCAAATGCAATGCATTTATTTTAATTTACTCTGATATAAAGAAAAGCAAAAAGTAAAAAAAAGGAGCCAACGAACAGAAATGCAAAACAATTGTCATTTGTTTATATAAGCGACGTCGGCCATTGGAGTGAGTGAGCGCGCGCTACTGGGCAGCGCTCACTCTCAACCATACACACACAATGCAAATATGTAAATGTGTCGCTCACGCTCCCTCATGTTTATTGGTTGCAAGCCACCTGCTCTGTGTGCATGTTGTATGTGCGCGTTGTGTAAGCGAGTGCGGTGCTTGCAATCCATTGAGAGCAAGCGAGAGGGAGATTGAGCGAGAGAGAGAATGTGCCCTGTTGCCTGAAACGAAATGAAATTGAAACGCAAATGAAATGAAATCGTCGCAATCAAAAAACGCCAAGCCAACAAACGAAATGAAAAAATAAATAAAACGAATGTTACCGTATTGTATAGGGCGGCGACAGCAGCGTCAGCGTCAGTGCTGCTTTTTAGGAAAGTTTGAGTGAGAGAGCGCTGTCAATGTATATATGTATATACATACATGCATTTGTGTGTGTGCTGCTTTTGCTGCTGCTGCTGCTGCTGCTAATTTTCTTCCGTCTCAGCCATCGTTCTCGTTCTGTCGTTTCTGCTTCTGTGTTTCATTTCATTTGTGTTTGTTTTTGTTTGTATTTTATTACGTTTGTCATTGTGTTTTCGGGGATGCTAACACAAGCGCACAAAGCCAGACAGCGTCAGAGACATACACACAGCCAGAAGTAACTATTATATACCACTCCCACTTTCTGTTTGTATTGGTGTACAATTCAAACAGCAACGCATTCGTATACATATCGTTTCGGGTTTTGCACAATCGCAGATACACACACGCACACACTCACAGGCACACGCATACATACATCTGATTGTGTACATGTATATGTAATGTAGATGGGGCTGCAGCTACTACTGCTGGCGCTGCGGACGCCGAGCCTTGGTTTGAACACTGGAAACTGGCAACGAAACGAAACACATTTGGCTCGCCTTTCATTACGAATTTGTCATTCGTAAGCAAAGGTAATGCAATAAAAGTTTTGCGCGCGCATTTCCATTTTCGACTCTCGCGACATCGTGAACGAAAATGTATCTCGGTACATAACGGAACGACGCGCCTCGTGGTGTGGGTGTATAAAATATAAAGAAGAAAAAAAAAAGAAAATACTTTTGATTCGTGTGTGTATGGCCTCTCGCTCTCTCACTCTCTTTCTCAGTCTAGCGCGTTACAGCGGCTTTACCAATTAATGTGTCTTTGTGTGTGGGAGGTTTGTGCGAGTAGTGAGTGACGATTCCCATTCGAATGCAATTCGTTTCGTTGATTTCTTGCAGTCTCAGTTATCGTCGTCGTCCTCTCGTGTGCTGTGCTCGTCGTGGCCTCAGCGCCAGCCAAAGGCCCCCAAAAAGCTCAGTGACGCGCCGTCGGTACGTTAACGAATAACGGTTTACGTTCTCTCTCACTGTCGCCCAATTGGCGTTTTGCTGAGTTGGTGTTTGTTTTCCAATTCTGATTTGTGCAAAGATTATACAAGAATTTTGATTGAAAAATTTATAATAATAAAAAGAAACATATCGAATCAATAATGCAAGTTGAAACAAACTAACACAGAAATTAATGAAAAATATATTTAAAGTGCGTGTTCGCCTTATAGGAATATTAACTAAAATTAATTACGTTTAAATACAAATTATTTATGAGGTAAATTTCAGAGGAGTCCAGACTTGCTTGAGCTAATAATTGATAAAAAGAAAAGTAAATCTGAAAAAATATAAATTAAATAAAATACATGTGAAAAATATTTCATAAAGAAAGAATTTTATATTATTTCAGAATTAGGAGTTTTGAAAATTTATATTAGATTGTTTACTGAATTATTTCATGTGCATATAATTTATATTATTTGAGATATATGCCCATTATATGAAGATTAATTATGGTTTATCTTCAGGAAGTACTTCCATGAAATAGTTTTTTTTATATGAGTTTTTCGGTATTTTTCATTTTTATATACTTATATCTGAAAATTTCTTATCTCCAAAACAATATACTTTTCAAATAGATTTCGATGTAGGTTTGCATAAAAAATGATTTATTTCTTCAAGAATAATAAACTGTCAAAGTTGATTAGTAATTTATTAGACAAATAATCAGTAAAATAAAAAATGTTGATGGTTCCTGAGAATTCAAAGTCAAAGCTCACATAGAAGATGAAATAAATATAGTTATATATACAACGCATACAAATTATAATAGCTAAAACGCTTTGAGTTTTTCTATGAAGTCAAGACTCCAAAAATAATTAAAAACGTATTAAACGTTCATTAATTATGTACAACGTGTCCATTTTTTAGTGAACTTTTAACATCGGCTAACAACAAAAAGAAGAAATATATATATATATGTATATAAACGGCAAGAGATAAACGTTTTTTGTTAGCCAATGATGAAGCATGGATTCTATCAATGTCAGTAGCCAATCCGTGACAAGTGAATTCAGTGAACAACAACAGCAACAGCAACAACAACAAGCCGATGAGCGGTCAATGAACAACAACAATAATACAACAACAATCAACAACAACTACAATCAGAATCACAATCACAGCCACAGCTATATCAATTGCAACAGCATCAGTGCACACAAGATTTTGGTTGGCAGCAACATGAATACAACAGCAATGCTAATGCATCATCAGCAGCAACAGCAAGCGGCAGCTGCTGCCGCCGCCGCCGCTGCAGCGGCCCAGCAGCAACAACAGCAGCAGCAGCAGCAACAGCAGCAGCAACAGCAACAGCAGCAACATCAACAGCAACAGCAACAGAATGGCTGCCGAGACGGCAGCAACAGTTCACGTGGCGCTGGCGATGACCGTCCAAATGGACGCAATTCGCACACGGGCAATGGTCGTGGCTCCAGCTGCTCGCCGGCCAGCAGTCCGACGCGTCATGGCAGCGCAGTGAGTCCGGTGAGCTCCTTGAATCACTCGATGATGGCACAAATGGCGCAACAGCAGCAACAGCAGCAGCAACAGCAACAACAGCAACATCACCAGCTCAGTCCGCCGCCGCATGTTGCCGGCGCATTGAGCACGGGTTTGGCTCCTCGCATGCCGCACGGCTTGCCGCCGCATTCACTGGGCCTGCTCAATTCACTGCAGATGATGCATCATGCGTCGCCGCTGGAGCTGATGGCTGCTGCTCATCATCATGTGCCACCGCGTTCATATAACTCACCGCCGCCCATTTCCACCTCAGATCCGAGTGCCAACGAGTGCAAGCTGGTGGAGTATCGTGGCCAGAAGGTCGCTGCGTTCATAATTAGCAACGAGACAATGTTATGCCTGCCGCAGGCCTTTGAGCTATTCCTCAAGCATCTGGTGGGTGGCCTGCATACGGTCTATACGAAACTGAAGCGCTTGGACATTGTGCCGCTCGTTTGCAATGTGGAACAGGTGCGAATATTGCGTGGCCTGGGCGCCATACAGCCGGGCGTCAATCGCTGCAAGCTGCTCAGCTGTAAGGACTTTGATGTGCTCTATAGAGACTGCACCACGGCCAGGTATGAATATGAGAATTGTTGTTCAAATTGTTCAATTTTTACTTATTTCCTGTTCACGTACGGCGGCCCGTTGCGTGAGACCCGACCAAAGCCCATTTACATTTACCCCTCCCTTCCCTCATAGGCATAGGCATAGGCATATGCATATGCATAGGCATAGGTTGAAGCGAAACGCATTGGCTATGCAAATAGTTTGCAAAAATATATCAAGTCTATCGCATATCGATTGATTTCTGGGCGGGGAGGGCACGGGCAGGCAACTAATCAAGAAACTTTTGCCTCTGATGACATTTGGCGGAAATACGCAATGCAAACCGTATTGCACATGCCCAGCCCACTCTGTAGCTAAACTCAAACTGGAGTTTCAATTGTTAACTAACTACCTCTATATATATATATATGTATATACATATATAATCGTTGCGTAAATTTGTTAACGATTCTAACAATAGTTTGCAAATAGTTTTTACCTTTTGTTGTTGCCCAACACACAAATCGCATATTCGACGCGTGCGGTGCCCTGTCAAAGCATTTCCGTTTCGATTATAAATAACAGCAACAACAACAACAGCAGCAGCAGCAGCAGCAGCAGCAACAACAACAACACTGCCTTAACCTAGTTACTATATAAGGCCTTTAAATATTTTTATAAATACATGCATATATGCAATTCGTATTCAGTATCTAAATCTGAAATGATCATTACATTATGGAAATTATTTAAAAAATTATAAATATTTTGAGATCTTGTAGCCTATAAATAATATATGTTATCAGTTCTTTCAGTTATTAAAATTTGAAAGCTTTTAGGAAATTTAACAAATTTTTATTCAGTAATGTGTTGAAAAATCAAGCCTAATTTTAAACAAACAGTTTCTGATTTGATTTAACTAATATAAAGCAAGGCAAATATTTAGAAAATGTATAGACAAATGTTGGGAATTCATTTTGACCAAAGATTTTTGGTATTCAATTTAAAAACAATTTGAAAATCAGTATTCCATGAAAAGGGCTTAAAATACAGTTGGAAAATTATGATGAATAACAAATAGAGATACATTTTTTTTTTTTTTCATTTTCGGATTTATGAAGAGAACATAGAAGAAAAAAATTAAAAAAAAATTACTACTTCAAATATATGATAAATATTGGAAATATGTATATAGCTAAAGTTTTCAAACTGAGAAATTCATGATTTATAACAATTATTTATTATAATAATTGAAAAAATCTGTGCAAAGCATGAGCAATGAAACGTTTTAATATTTTAAAGAATTTTTATATAATTATTTTATTTTTTTCATATTTAATGCAATATATATTTCGACATTATAATTTTTTTTTAAATATTTAAATATTTTGATATTTATTATATTATAAATATTCTTTAAATAAAAGATAAAATATATAACAAATTTTATCATAGGAATTAAATGATTCATAGAATTATAGAATAATAGAAAACTTAGAAAATATTGGAGGTATATGGTTATGAGGTTATATGTATGATAGATATTATCGAAAATATATGTTAAATGAAATAATAAAAATATATATTTAAATATGCAAAACGCAAAATGTTCTATATTTTGTGTGCACGCCATCAGAAGACAACATAAATAAGACAACACACATATGTAATTGGCGAGTGTTTTTTAGTTGGGTCTCAGTGAGCCAGTTGGCCTGTCCTTCAGAGGAGAAAACCACGGGTATCTGCAAAACCGCGAGCCGCATAAATGCAATGAAAAACAATATAGTTAATTATGGAAACAGTGCTCCAAAGTGCACATGCGCTGAGCAGAATTTCCAAGGGCCTCAGTTCCAGGTCTCGGGGTGCGCTCAACCAATTGAAGAACAGTTAAAAATGCGGTTAAACCTATTATTAGCTTGAAAGACTTGCGTAAAATTGAAACAAGTAGAGAATTGGGCGCTGACAGAGCCACAAAACTGACCAAAAAAAGGGTAAAGCTAAAAAACCGCTAAAGGCAGTTGGCAGTTTTATAGAGCCTGGCCAAGGGCCTGCCGGGCGCTGGCTGTAGCTGTTAACGGCAACAAAAGGGCAACACGGGAAACCAGAGGAACAGAGGCACAGAGGAATCGAGCGGAATAGAGGGGAAACGGGGGGGAACAGAGGAACAGAGGAACAGGGCTGGTACAAGTTGCACCCCATTGCGTTTATATTCTGTGAGCCAGGGTAATTATAAAATGTAGTTGTTGCTGCTTGCACGGGTCTGCCAAGGGTTAAGGCGTGTGCATTTTCACACCCGCTTGCCCGCCATGTGTACATAAATGAAACATAATTCTAAAGTTTTTTACAATACGTTTTTCTCTCTCTCTCTGTATTTT